GTGCTATAGTACACACAAATCGCAATTAACGTAATAATCAAAGTGCTAATAGTTACCAAATTACTACGGCAGATACAATTTCCTGAACAGAAGGAGAAAAGTGGATTAAGTAGATTAGCTGATGGTAATCTGGCCAGACTGAGTCTAGATCAGCCTAATTCTACTATATGTAACTACTAAAGGAGGAAGAAGAGTTCTCAGCATCGAACGAAATTGGATGAAGCTATTCGCTAATAAAAAGCTTTCTCCACCGAGCCCATTACGATGTTCGATGTATCGATCATGCCGTTTAAACAGTCCCTCCATTTCCTACTCGAATTAATTGAATTATAACGTGTATCTTGGCGACCCAATCAATGCTGTAAGATGGAAACGTCAATTTTTCCATTTAAGTAATTTACTTTTGTTAGCAAGGTAAAAGGAAAATGATATAAGAGAATGAGGTTGAATCACTTACTGGTTTAGTTAGTGTGATTATTGATTTTACGAGGGATTTTTTAACTTTTACTTTCAGATTAATGGATTTTGCAGCTTTTAGATTAATCTTGCAGTTTTTATATTTTCACGGTTCAGTTTACGGGTTTTGTATTTTCACATGAAAGGATTTTGCATTTTTTTCATTTTTACATTTTCAAATTTACAAATTCTAATACATTGGAAGGAAATCTTTCATTTTACAATTTTTTCAAATTCACCATTTTTCAAATTTGGGTATTTGAAAATATGAAAAGTTTGCAAGTTTGAAAATTTATGTTTGTGAAAATGTGGGGAATTTAGAAATTTTAAATATTTACAAGCTTTAGACCTCGGGGCCTTGAAAACAGAAATTTTACAATTTGAAGGATTTAGAATATTTAGAGGATTTGGAAATCAAATTGTTTGCAAATTTTTAAATTTCAAAAATTTCTAAGTTTGAACTTAAAAAATTTGCCTGAAAATTCAGAATAAAAAAATTTGCAAGTTTCTAAATTTGAAAATAGGGGTATTTATAAATTTCAAATTGAAGAAGTTTATAAATCTCAAAATAACAAACTATACAAATTTCAAATTCTCAAACTTTTTAATCCACTACTTATTAAGTCCTTAATTACGCCTGTAAATATTTGAAATACTCATATTATCACAATAAGAAAAAATTAAACTTTGATCAAGTATTACGTGACAACTTAATAAAATTATTAAAGCAACTGTTCTCTTTCCTCCTCCATCAGCATATTCCTCAGAGAATCGCACCCAAATACATCTATTATACTCAATCTTATAGTTTCAAATCGGTCCACAATTATTCGAAACGCACCCGAATGCAATCGTATTAAAGAACCTGCAGAAAATCAGCGAGGAGAACGTTTCACGGTTAGTCGACTTTAAGAAAATTAATTTAGTCGAGAACGCGAGAATGGGATTAGGATTCGTCGAAGAAGAAACTCGGTCCTTCGGTATCCTTTTTATCTCCATTTCTGCAGATTAACAAGACTTAACACGGTTATTGTTCCCGTAATCTTTTTCTGATCTTCGACAAACATTTTCTGAATTCTGTGATATGGAAAAAATCGTGCTTTACGATGGGAATGAGACTATGAATAAAATCGTTTTCAACGATTTAAAATTAAATTAAAAGAAGTGAAGTTGACAGGATAAAATAATAGATTGAAAATTATGAGTGATTCGAAATTAATATTGTTATTTTAGTCTGTGATAGAAACTCTTTATTTATACCATACTTTTTAATCATGATTAAATTTCTTTGAGCGTACGTTTACAAACATAATCGCGATATTAACGGTTTCGTAGGCTTTCATACATAGCTGTATTAAATTAAAATTTTTTTGTTTCAATTTTTCGTACATGTACCTAATTTAATTATTTCAGAAGTGCAATTTAATTTCAAACGTAACTCTATTTGCTTTTTGAATTAATACATTTCTCGGAACGAAAAAACTGGCAAAATTTTCAGCTTCAAAAATACTGCTATTATTACAGTAATAATTGAGATACTTTCTACAGAAAATACTATATCTTTCTGTGAAATGATTCATCCGTAAATATTTTCTGCCGGTACAAAAATAAAACAATTTAAAAAAGTGCAGGGAAATTTTTCAGTTCTATCATCCAGAATGTGTATCTTTATAATTTCAGTGATGAAATTGATACACAACTCCCGTTAAAAATGATGAAATTCCTGTACTAAAATTGTAGGACGTTTAGCGGAGCCGTGATAGCGAGCCATTTACAATTGTAGCTGCTACGAATTATAAAGCAGTAACTTTTAATTAGTCGTCGTTCCGTGTGATTTTATTGCGCCGCATAATTGTGGGCGATGACAGTGACGAATTCGTGTACCGTTTGCAATATGCTAATGAGGTTTTCAAAAAGCGAGCCCATACTTGTAACAATGGACTGCGAAAATGGTAGCTCGGTTTCTAGAATGCCTAGCACCGATCGATAGGCCTGTGTACCAGAAAGCAGCTACAACTAGAAGGCCAGAAACAGGTGATCGACCCGAGGCTTTCGTAGAACGTTTGACGGAAACGTTTACGCTACGCAGAAGCTGTTGAATGTCTCTTTTTGTCTTCGAATAAAAGCAAATTGTTTTGTGAAAAAAGAATCGGGGTATTGACGATGAAACTGGTCGTTAACCTTTTGACTGCGTCGCTTTCGATAAGAGATGCCACGTTGCATTATGCGCCGTGATCCTTCAACAACTTCAATCGAACTAGATGGAAAAATAGTTGTTTATTCTGAGGGAATATATTTGTTTGCGTACAATTTTAAAGAAGCTGCTATTGTGGTTCGTTTAACTGTTTTATTGTCGTACTGTTGTTTTATTCTATTTTAGCACGTTTATCTTCTATTACCGTATTAGTTTTCTTATTTTACTGTTTCATTGTTTTGTTATTCTTTTATTTCAGTATTTTATTATTTCATAATTCTACTGTTCTTCTGTTCCACTTCTTCATTTTTCCACTTTTTCTACTATTTCACTATGTCACAACACTACTATTCATCTATTTCAGTATTTTACTATTTCATAATTCTACTGTTCTTCTGTTCCACTTTTTCATTTTTTCACTTTTTCTACTATTTCACTATGTCACAACATTACTCTTCTTCTATTTCAGTATTTTATTATTTCATAATTCTACTGTTCTTCTGTTCCACTTTTTCATTTTTCCACTTTTTCTACTATTTCACTATGTCACAACACTACTATTCTTCTATTTCAGTATTTTACTATTTCATAATTCTACTGTTTTTCTATTCTATTTGTTTCATTTTTCCACCACTAGTCTACTATTTAACAATTTTATTGTTCCATTGTCTTATTATTTTACCATCTCCCTATTCTGTTTTTTCACTTTTCCATTCTTCCATTATTCCACTTCAATATCTCACTACTATTTTATTATGTACACTCTTTCACCATATTGTTGTATTTTTATTCTACTATATTGCAATACTATCATTCCACTATTTCACTATATTTCTATACAAATATTTTAGCCTTTGTACCCTTAGTACCATTTCACTATATTACTGTACTATTACTTTACTATATCACAACACTACTCTTCTACTATTTTACTATATTACTATATTAACATTTCATTCCCTTACTACTCTGTTACATACTATTTTATTATTTTGCTATTGTTCTATTTTACCATTTCTCAATTTTCACCTTCATCATTTTATTATCAATCCTTTACAATAAAATAATAATTGTGTTTGAGAAATGAAACGATTCCTAAATAATTAAAAAAATCATGTTTCTTAAGTTTCTATAAAATATTTTATAATTAAATTCGGGATTATTATTCTATCAGAAGTATTCTATTAAATATCTCTGAACTCATTCATTAAAATTTGCATCTGCATATTCTGTGTTAATTATGCGTCTTAAATACATTGAAAATCTGGGGATTCAAATTATAATTAGCGCGTACTGTTATCATGTTAGCTGCTAAAGTACAGCCGTATTTAGCAGAACTCCATCGTGCATTATTAATCCTGTGGAAATGATAAATGCATATACGTTTGAAAAGAGCCAGTACGGCTATTATAGTGATTTATAAGTTCAGGTTATCGTAATAGTTCAGCAAACGTATAAATAAAAATTGCAACACGATAAATTTTTAATCCAGCTTTGAAGAAAGAGATACGTTTGATCAAGTAGCTTTTTACCATCCTTCATCACATTTGTTTAAATTTTTTAATCCCTTTGCAACAAAATTAGAGCAGTTTTAAAAGTAAATACTAGAGAAGACGGCAAATTTAGTTGGCAACCTAATATTTTTTAATTTTACTTAAGTGAAAAACATGTTACGCGTACATGGTGCTAGGTTCAGAAGTGCTTTGGCCCCAAAGGGTTAAAGATATTAACTTTCACATGGCCACCCAAGTACGAATGTACCCACTCGCGTCTCCAGGTAAAAAAGCTTCCAGTTCCTACTAAAATCTCGGTGGATCCTTTTAAAATTTTAAACCTCCATTACCGAGCTTTTTCCACTCGTCCTTGCTACATGCATGAAAACCCATCAGAAAATTGAAGGGCTTTGTGTAAAAGGTGCATACACTACATTTAAATCGATCGTTAGTACCTTGTACCATCAACCAATTCCTTCGATTCGACGAAGGAAGAAATTTCTATGTAAGTTTATGTTGTCCTTTTTTCCAAGCACTCAATTTTCAAACGCATAAACTGGAATAATGAACCAATGAGTTTAAATAAATTAACACTTAATTCTTAATAAGTATTCTTATTAAGATTTCCTATTTCGAATTAATAGATTATCGGTCTTTGGAGATATTTAGAATTTCAACTCGTGAAATTACGAAGTTGTAATACTGGTTAATGATGTTACAGATTCCAGTTCTAGTACCAGTTTGCTTGTTGTGTTATTATTGTCAGCCATTTCTCTCTGTTCTATGATTTTATTTCTCCGTTCGACGTATATTGATTTTTACTGTTGCTTTAATCCTCGAATGTCTGAATTGTGCAGGATGTCCTACGAGAGCTGGGACAGAAAAAGCCGCAGTTGGACGAGTTGGTCCACACAGCGGAAGCGCTTCGAGCGGATACGAACAGACAGCAGGTGCACGGCAAAGGTAAGTCCACCTTATTTTTTCCGGTATTAATATCCTTCCTGTTGTATAACTGTGATGGTCAAATCAAGTGTTCGACAAATCGCATTTTACAGTCTTTAGATTTACTTAAAATTTTGAAACGCAGATATTTCATATTTTCAGTCTTAATCAGTTTTAAACTGGAGTTGGATATTTAGAAAAATTAAAGAAAATAGAACATAATAAATGCACATTGTAAATTTAGAAATCTAGTAATTGTAAATTTGAAATCCTAGTAATTAAAAAATTAAAAAATCTACTAAATTTGAAATTTAGACGTTTACTAATTTAACAATGTAAGAATTTATTAATTCGAAAATGAAAAAATCCTCTAACTCGGAAATTTAGAAATCTACTAATTCGAAATCTGGTAATTACAAACTTTTACAAATGTAATATTAGTTGAATTCACAAATCTAGCAATTGAAGAATGCAGAAACCTAATAATTCGATAATTTATAAACCCAGTAACTAAAAAATGTATAAATCTAGAAATCTGTAAACAAATGCCGAAATTAAAAAATTGACTACTTGCCCATCACCGTTGTACAATATTCTCCTCATTAATATATTTAATTCAGATTAAATGTTCTGTCTCGAACAAACGTCGCAACAAACGTCATTAATGTCGTCATTTAATGAATCATAGAATTAATGATCGAATTGTTAGTAATTATCAAGTAGTCGAAGGGTATGGAATTCAACAGCGGAAACGGTAGAATTTGATTGTCGAACGAAATTTATAATGAGAAAATCGTCACCGCGTCAGATCGATATTCGCATCGATATTCGAAGACCTTAATAACTTTTTGTCATCGTAACTGATAGTGGAGCACTGCTTCCGCTTGCCAAGCACTTTTCAGGGCTTCGGCAAATTTCAGAAGTTTAATTATCAGCCTTGATTGCGCGGCCAAAGTCTGTAATAAATTGAACCATCTGTTCTGCGAGACATGATCTTGTTATACAAAGTATCTTGCTTCACTGTTTTTTACATTAAATGAAATCGCGCGCAATTTCTGTGTTTATTTCCAGTCGGAAAAATTCTTATCATTTAGTAATTTGTTCCTGTTGATATAAGTAGAAGTTTATAACGAGGTACATAACGCATACATGGTCTGAAACGTGAAAGATCCATTTTATTATTGAGGGAAAATAAAATCCCATTTTTAGCATTTGTTGTTCAATTATTTAAATGTTTAGGAATATTATGTATAAACATCTTCGGGAACAATTTTTATAGAGTTATAGAAGACCTGAATTTATTATACAATTATATCAAATACGTTCATAAATTTCTGTACAGGGTGGCGCACCACATTTTGCCATCTAAATTTGCGTCATTATTATTATGAATGGTTTTTAGGGGTATAAATAATTATATTTATTTCAAATTAATAGCAAGTAAAAAATTCCAAAAACATTAGTAATATATAACATATACTAAAATGGAGACAATGTTCACATCGGTAGTCCTTAATTAAACTAAACAGAAACTAAATACACACAGTATTGACGATGAATAAGTGAATCGTGATGAAAAGTAAATAAATCTTGAGTCTTAAATAAATAACAACCATATATTAACAATTATATTAAATTTATATCGACACTTGATTAAAAGAAATAAACAGCAGTTCGGTGACCAATCAGCAAACATAAACAAGCAGACAAGAGTACCAGATATGTTTAAAAACGAGGAAAATATTTCTTGAAAATTGTATCGAATACATGTTTGAAGTATGTTGAAATAGTTGTCAATATAATGTTCATGGTCGAAAGGTAGACAAAATCAATAGCGAAGAAGGCGGAAGAGAGCAAAGTTCATGTTTGATCCTGGGAATATTTTCCAATAGCGTTGACTAATTGGCGTATCAGTGGTTCATCCCGTGTTCGAAATTAGTTCTGCTAACGATCATGGTAATTCGATCGATTCGGGAACTTTTTAAATTCCCGCGAATCTGCCGGAGATCGAGGCAGTGGAAAAGGGTCGAGCAGAGAGATTAACGGCGGTGCCGTTAATTGTTTCAAGAGCCCTGGAAAACCCTCTCCCCCCGTCGATGTCGCATTGTTCCTTCTATATTAACGTGCCGGTACTTGTCAGTCCCGTCTGGTACTAGGCTCGTGCATTATAGCCAGACGATTCTTTCGTCCATTGTTTTCAGCAGCCGCCCATTCTGTGTGAAATTGGAAGGAAAGGGTTCGCCTACCCAGCTTATCAACCGGTTCTGTGCATTTCTTTGCTTGATACGTGGTAACTTGCATTTATTTGGCGACCGATTATTAGATACTGTTCCTTTTTAATCGCTTTAAGATGTGGACACTTGGGAATTTGGAAATTGGATATGGAAAATTTGGGGATTTTGATGTTTGGCGGTTTGAGAATTTTGGGATTTTGGGGATTTGTTGGTTTCAGCAATTTCATGTTTGGAAATGTGGAAGTTGGGAAAATTGAAAATGTGGAAATTGGGAATTTGGGGATTTGGGGATTTGGGGATTTGAGGATTTGGGAATTTGGG